TAAATCAAGTTGCACACACACAAATATATTGCATATATATAATTATGTTAAAATATTGTACTGTACTTGAGTAAAATGTTGAGGTACTTGTACTTTACTGGAGTTTTTAAATGTTTTGCTACTTAATACTTCTACTCCACTACAGTTCAGATGTAAATAGTGTACTTTTACTCCACTACATGTATTTAATACCTTTAGTTACTTCACAGATGTGGATGAATGATGTGAAATATAATCAAGTGTGAAATCAGACTTTAGTTCCACCTGGAGTAAATTCACAAGCTACCCTGCAGTATACAAAGTCATTCAAACTAGCTGCACCTTTACCAGCTTGGAGAACACTTTAATGATCAATCATTATAAAACATATCAGATATATTATTCTGAAATGGACCAATCTGCACAATGACTACTTTTACTGTCGCTACTTTAACCTGTTAAGCCCTGAGCCTGTTTTTCAGGTCTCAGGCTCGAAAATGACATTCTCAGAACAAATGACCATATCTTCCCTTCTAAAAGGGTTAAATTAATAATCTTTGTTCTCAAAGTAATGATAAACCTGTGAGTTGGATGTAGAATAGTCAGAATCAATATAGATATTTTTTATTTTAAAGAAAATTCAGATTTTACATAGTAAAAAACTGTAAATTATAGTGTCCGTCCAAAAATTCTTTTTTACTTATAGTGAAAACCACCCTTGGATGATGGTAAGGTAGACTAAAAGCTTTAGGAATCCAAAGTACAACATATAATAAGTACCCTGTATCAAGATTGATGCAAAACAAGTGACATTTGACCTTTTTAGAGAGATTTAGCAAAAAGAAACCACTTCTGGGGTCATTTGGGTGGATTTTCCATATCTCTGGCCCCCCTTGCTCGATTTTGATGGTTGACACCTCTATCTGACCGTTAGAGCCAATAGAATCGAAGGGGGAGTCCCCCACACACACACGTTGTGAAGAGAAAGGGTGGGGGCTTCGCGCATGTAATTTTCAATCAGAGTGAACCTATCTCTAGCTTTGACATCTGGAAACGGAAAAGCAGTTTTAATGCTTATGGCAGGGTTGCCAACTCTCACGCATCTGGCGTGTGACACACGCTTTCACTCTCAATCTCACGCTCTCACGCTGCCCAAACTATTCTCACGCCAAAAATAAGAATACGAAGACGAGAAACGGTTTTGAAAACTTTTCTCACGTAGTGATCGTCTTCTCAATAGAACATCTTTGATAATGTATTCTGGCCAATCAGAATCACGATAACGGCGTGGTGTTGTTGCAGGAAGTCCCGACGGAGATGAGAATACTTTTGCGGTAGTACATCTCTATACATCGATACAACATTACGTGTTGATAGAAATCAACACGTAATGAAATAAGACCCCACGGTTTGATGATTGATAGGTGTGTGGGCTGTCTTTCATTTTGACACACAGAACAATGGGGGCTATCCACCCTTATCCACAATGTAAAGTAATTCACACAGCCTCTTCTGTGAGGAGCAGCACTGCTGCAGCAGGTTCAGCTTTCAGAACAAAGTAACAAAAAACTAATATGGCATTCATTTTTTTAAATGTGTAGTAATAGATTTATTTATTTTTCTTCTCAAGAGAGTACCAGAATGTGTATTTTATGTTAGTATTTAAAAAATTCTCCTGGGGGAGAATCCCCCCAGACCCCCCCTGCAGGGGTCAACTCTTTCACCTGTGGGGAAATTGCAGGATTGGCTCCAGGTCGCCCTTTTTATTTACTACAAGACAAATGTGCCTTTTTATTTCATACAGTTCAATTTGGATTGAGACAGGGAAATAATCTAAACCTCACGCGTGGCGTTTCACTGTCGGGGGGAGCGTGTATGTAATTACATTGCAAATACTGACTTGAGCCCCACCACTGTATGGGTTAGCCCTACCATAGATTACCCAACAAAAATACTCTGGAGCGCATGCGCAGATCTAAGATCCAGTAGAAATGATAAAAAAGTAAAAGTCTGCTGCTTATTGTTCTACTAGGCCAAAATAGAGTCAAAGAGTATATGAGAGTGAGAGTGTGTTAATTAATATATTTGGCAGTTTGGAGTAAGTCTGTAGATTTGTTTGTGTGTGTGTGTGTTTCATGTATAGGCCTCTCACGATAATTAATGTTGTTGGATACATTTTCCCGGAAATTATTGCGATAAACGATAATATTGTCGGCACCGTTGTATGACCATTTTAGACCACTGACATAATGATAATATATAATAATAATTCAAGTACATCCTTTCAAACTGCTAGTCACATCCTCATGTACTGTAAATGGCAATTTATCGAGGTCAGAAAAGTTATCGAGTTCATTTTTATTTATCGTACGATAAGTCAATTAATTGCTTATCACGACAGGCACACAATAAAACAGTGGAAACAAACATGTCTGACTTTCATTAGTGAATGAAACTTTGTGCCCTTTATAGTCTGTGTCCATTATTGTGTATTTGTATATATTGTATATATATCCTCAGTGGCGTTTTTATATGTACAAAAGTGGTGGGGCACAAAAAACTTAGATGTCTATATATAAGCTTCTGCAGTGACGTGCAGTGAGGTTCATGGCTGGTGAGGCACTGGCACTGACTCTTCAGGTTTACAAATATTATATTTTGACCTAAACCAAAATATAATATTATTTTCAAAAGCTTTTTTTGTCTGATGCTTCGATTAATTTTAAACAGACAGTTCAACAAAAGGATACCCAAAAAATGTAATTTGATCATTTAAATATTGAATTGTTCTCTCTAAGTAAGATCCCATTTTCAAAAAATTGCGGTCTTACCTTGACTTGAAGATGAAGTCCATTTGCCTATCCTTCTGGACAAAAAATTCTATAACTTTTTTGTAAAAGTCCTCCTTATCATCTTGTAGTTTCAAAAGTCTATCATAAATCTAATCGATAGATTTATGATTCGAAAATGATAAAAGTAGGGTAGACATGTGGATATTATCCGGCTGAACAAAACGTGCATTTATCTAACAGGTACGTTTCCCACAGATCTTATTTCAAGCTATTTTCTAAAATCCTATAGAGAAACCTCATTGCTTTTTTGCAGCTTACTTCCTGGTTTTAGGACGCGTCACTGCAGCTCTCGTCTCCTCTTATTATACATCCATGCTCTTCACACACCACACTTTTCGCGGCACACGTACTTACAGCCAATCAGCTCTGAATGATGTGAGATGACGTATGGTGGGGATGGCAGCTCTGTGCCCCTATGGTGTTTTTTTTTTTGCCACACACATTACATTGAAAAATACTCTGAGCATGCGCAGTGTAGTTTTTACAGTCACCGTTCACTTTGACAGTGAAAGGGTGGGGCATGATCAGGTTTTGTCCCACATGGCTCAAAACGGCACTGTAGACACTAATTAGAAGAACACAGACTAAAACAGCAATGCACAGACGAATCAGATGATTAAACATGACCTTAAAATATATTTTATATATTTTTTTATTTCTTTTTTTGCATCTCTTTCCATTTTTTGTAATCATTATGTGTAATACTTTCTGCTGACACTAGGTGGGGCTGTGCCCCACCTGCCCCTAATGACCAGTCGCCACTGTATATCCTATATATATGCTAAGGTCCCGCTGCTGACACGATAGCAGTCATTTCGTGCGCATATGTGTAATTAAACCGAATTAAACCCATGATATCAAAATCTCACTCCAGCCAGGTACCCAAAGTTGGCAACCCTGGCTTATGGATTATCAGAAATCATTTCAAAGGGACACAGACACATTAGATTAACCTATGGATTAACTTCAGCAGCGTTTTTATCGTTTTAATGCCATTGAAGACCACTTTGGAGAGACTACAGAGCCAAGGTAAAAATGTTAGCATTTTTAGCTACCTAGCGTCACCTGTTTTGATGTCCTGTTTTTGCTTATAACGTCGCAAATACGTATAATTCAGTGGTAATGTCGGTGTCAATAGATTCTGTGTCACCTCACGATGTGAAACGATGTGTTGGATGTGGTGAAAAGATAATTAATAAGGTTTTGTGAGTGATTTTCGGTGCAGTAAGGTGTTAGCATTTTTCGCTCGTTGCTAATTCAGAGGCTCAGTGTTAGCATTGTGGGTTTTCTTTTGATTTTTTAAAAAAAAATGATCAGTTAGATGAGTTTCTTCCCGTTACATGGATATAAAACATTCATAGTTTTATTAAATGAACATGCCCTCAGACACTGTTTCCTGCAAGATGTTGCGGCTGTGCCCCGGTACCGGGGTCTCTCGGGTTTAACAGGTTAACTATATTTTGATGATCATACTTTTACTTGAGGAACTCTTCCTACACTATGGTATGTTTTTACTTAACTACATGATCTGAGTACTTCTCCCACCTCTGCGCACCTGATGTGATAACGTTACTCGTAATTGGGGCAACAGAGCTACGAGTTAAGGAAGTTGAAAATTGTGCATTTCTCCGACTGAATATGAAGCCTTTTGGCCGGCTGTTTGGACAGACTGCTCTACTCGTGTCAACGCGCTAACGCAAAAACACTAATGGCAAACGAGCTTTGTCCACATCGAGCCTTGTAGAGTGTCTCTATACTTTTGAACGCTCCGTCCCCGGCAGATCTCTGTGTCCGCTGCAGCGTGTCTGTTAGGCCCCGCCCCCCGCATACAGAGAGACTCAGGGAGATCGCTCTTCTGGAGTGAAGAGAGCGGAAATAATGATATTGCAAGTTAGAAACGTAAGATGTATTTTGACAGACAAGACGGACACTTGGGGGGAAATATCCTGCATTTTGAATGTCCGATAGTCCACCATTAACACCTTAGTCCCGTCTCGTCTCGTCAACGGAAACTAAATATACATTTCGTCATAGTTTTCGTTATCAAGAATCTATTTTTAGCTCGTCATCATCTCATCTTAGTCATGTAAAAAAGGTCGTTGACGAAATTAACACTGCATCAGATTCTCAAGCATTTTCCTGATTCTCTCATGTTTCCTTCTCTTCCAGCAGATAGTAGTCTGCAGGAGGTTTTAGATGAACATAGGCTCAGTCTGAGGAGGAGATGTGAACGTGTGACTGAAGGAACTGATGAAAGTGAAACCCTCCTCAACAGGATCTTCACTGAGCTCTACATCACACAAGGCCTGAGTGAAGAGGTTAATACCCAACATGAGGTGAGGCAGCTGGAGACAGCTTCCAAGAAAGAGACCCTCCATGAAACTCCAATCAAGTGCCAGGACATCTTTAAAGCCTTACCTGACCAACAGAGTCTCATCAGAGCGGTCCTGACCAACGGAGTCGCTGGAGTTGGAAAAACCTTCTCAGTGCAGAAGTTCACTCTGGACTGGGCCGAGGGTTTGGAAAACCAAGATGTCAGTCTAGTGATCCCGCTCTCCTTCAGGGAGCTGAACCTGATCAAAGATGAGCAGTACAGTCTTCTCAGGCTGCTCCATGTTTTCCATCCAACCTTACAGAAGGTCACAGCAGAGCAGCTGGCTGTCTGTAAAGTGCTGCTCATCTTTGACGGCCTGGATGAAAGCAGACTTTCTCTGGATTTCAGAAACAAGAAGGTTGTGTCTGATGTCTCACAGCAGTCCTCCGTCAACGTGCTGCTGACAAACCTCATCAGGGGGAAGCTGCTTCCCTCAGCTCTCGTCTGGATAACTTCCAGACCTGCAGCGGCCAATCAGATCCCTCCTGAGTGTGTGGACAGGGTAACAGAAGTACGAGGCTTCACTGACGCCCAGAAGGAGGAGTACTTCAGGAGGAGATCGAGTGATGAAGAACTGTCCAGCAGAATCATCTCTCACATCAAGAGCTCCAGGAGCCTCCACATCATGTGTCTGATCCCAGTCTTCTGCTGGATCACTGCTGCAGTTCTGGACCACATGTTGACTACAGACCAGAGAGGAGAGCTGCCCAAGACCCTCACTGACATGTACTCACACTTCCTGCTGGTCCAGACCAAGAGGAAGAAGCAGAAGTATGAAGAGGGACATGAGATGAGTCTACAGCAGCTGACGGAGGCTGACAGGGAGGTTCTTCTGAAGCTGGGGAGGCTGGCGTTTGAACATCTGGAGAAAGGAGACATCATGTTCTACCAAGAAGACCTGGAGCGTTGTGGTCTTGATGTCACCAAGGCCTTGGTGCACTCAGGATTTTGTACAGAGATCTTCAGAAGAGAGAGTGTCATCTTCAAGAAAACAGTCTACTGCTTTGTTCATCTGAGCATTCAGGAGTTTCTGGCTGCAGTCTACATGTTGCACTGTTACACCAACAGAGACACAGAGGTACTGAAGTACTTCCTGCAGGGAGACTGTGACTATTACTTAGGTGATGGCAGTGATCAGGATTACCCATCCCTGGATGCCTTCTTAAAGGAAGCCATGAAGAAATCCCTCAGAAGTGAAAATGGCCACCTGGACCTGTTTGTCCGCTTTCTCCACGGCCTCTCTCTGGAGTCCAACCAGAGAAACCTAGGAGGCCTGCTGGGTCGCACAGACAACCGTCCAAAGATCATCCTGAGAGCCATCAGCAACCTGAAGGAGATGAGAAGTGATAAAATCTCTCCTGGCAGGAGCATCAACATCTTCCACTGTCTGACAGAGATGAAGGACCTCTCAGTACATCAGGAGATCACAGAGTTCCTGAAGTCAGAGAACAGATCAAAGGAACTCTCTGAGATCCACTGCTCTGCTCTGGCCTACATGCTGCAGATGTCAGAGGAGGTTCTGGATGAGTTGGACCTGAAGAAGTACAACACATCAGGGGAGGGACGACGGAGACTGCTTCCAGCTGTGAGGAACTGCAGAAAGGCACAGTAAGTCCAAATGTGATTAACTTTATACACTCGATCAGAAGTTTACATCTTCAAATATCCCAGTTATTCTATTTATTATAATAATTGTTACCTTGTACAGTTTTTAGATTTTTTCATATTCCTTGTCAAACAAATGAAGGCCTTTAGAGGTTTTCTCACGGCAGCATGTGATCACAACATACAGAAGTATTTTACAGTTATCAGTGAATGCAGTCATTCATAGATCATTCAGTTTGTTTATTTTCATTTCATTTAATGGTTTATTTGAAGAGGGACAGTGCACATTGATGAACATTTAAAACAAATAATGCTTTAAAAACTTAAACATGCCGGATTTGAGCTTTGAGCTAGTTTCCATCCGTAGTCCCTTAAAGTTTAAGGGTCTCCTATCATGCAAAATGCACTTTTTGATGTCTTTTATACATAAATATGTGTCTCCGGTGTGTCAGGGAACTAGGGCTGGGCAATATACCGGTATTATGAGTTATACCGATATATTTCATAAGGAGATATGTAGACCATACCGTCATACCGATATGTCTGTCTGTGAAGTTATGACCGTTTTTTTGTTGTTGCATTAAAGCCATTTTGTCAGAGAATGGAGCGTTCAAAAGTGACACTATACAGGCTAAACGTAGACAATGCTGGTTTGCCACTAGTATTTTCTCATAAACGCAGAAGCACAAGCAATCTGTCCTAACGGCCTCATATTCAAACGGAAAATTCATAAATGTTCGACTTCCATAACTTGTGGCTCTGTTGCCCCAATTACGAGTAACGTTACAACGTCAGGTCCACAGAAGTGGGAGAAGTTAAGTACTTAGATCTTGTACTTGAGTAAAAGTAGAAGTACTCAGATCTTGTACTTTAGTAAAAGTAGAAGTAACAGAGTGTAGGAATACTCTGTTACAGTAAAAGTTCTGCATTCAAAATAATACTCATGTAAAGTAGAAAAGTATTAGCATCAACATATAGTCAAAGTAGCGACAGTAAAAGTAGTCATTGTGCAGATTGGTCCATTTCAGAATAATATATATGATATGTTTTATAATTATTGATGCATTAAAGCAGTGGTCACCAACCTTTTTAAGCCCACGATCTCCGACCTTGGCCTTAGTGAAAGGCGAGATCTACCTATTACAGAATTGAGTGAAAAAGACAGCCCAGACAGTACTTGCAATTTGAGGCCTTTTATGTAGGCTAATTGTATCTGAATTACATAAAATCATTTGGTGCGACTTCCAATGAGATTAAACCAAGAACACAACATAACTAACATGTCAAAAAGGATAAATATTAGGGCTGTCAGTCGATTAAAATATTTAATCGCGATTAATCGCATGATTGTCCATAGTTAATCGCGATTAATCGCAAATTAATCGCACATTTTTTATCTGTTCTAAATGTACCTTAGAGGGATATTTTTCAAGTTCTTAATACTCTTATCAACATATGAGTGGACAAATATGCTTTATATGTTTGTTTATTATCATTTGAACAATGACAAATATTCTCATGAATATTAAACACAACAACCTCTGAACATTACAAATATTCGCCTCAATTCAACCTGGAACCTCTCATACAATAATACAATACAAAGTGTGTGTGTGTGTGTGTGTGTGTGTGTGTGTGTGTGTGTGTGTGTGTGTGTGTGTGTGTGTGTGTGTGTGTGTGTGTGTGTGTGTGTGTGTGTGTGTGTGTGTGTGTGTGTGTGTGTGTGTGTGTGTGTGTGCGTGTGCGTGCGTGTGTGTGTAGACACTGTGATGGATCGTTGGAGCTATGTGCCGCTCAAGGCATATATGCTCGAACTGGAGCTGCCTGGACGCTGCAATCATGTTGCGCGCACTATCCGTGCTGAGTGTGCTGACTTTTCGTACAATGTCCCACTGTCTGGCTACCTGCATAAAGTCAAGTGCTCGGCGCAGTTGTCGGCGAAATGTCGCTCCTCTGTTTTCATTGAAACAGCTCCTTATATCCGTTAGCGCAGCTAGCTAGCACCAGATGCTAACAACAACAACAACAACACGTAAGGTGTGCCTCGCTCGCGCCACACATACACACACCCTCCCGGTCCTCCCGATGGCCAGTCCGGGCCTGCCGGTGAGCGTGGAAGTGTGGTCTGCCACAAGCGGGCGGCAGGAGCGGGGCTGTCAGCATCAGCTTGTAGATGGTATTTTAAACTCGATGCGCTCTGTGCGTTAATGCGTCAGCCAATCGAATCGTATGCCAGTACAAGCTCTAGCCAATCAAACCGCGTGCTTGTCTGTCCGGGGCGGGAGATTCATGTGATTGGTTGTTGGTCGAGTTTCAGCCCCCCCCGCCGGCAAGCTTCAACGCACGCTGCTGTGTGGACGGGCCGTAAGGCCTATCCACTGAAGCTTCATGCAAGTGCAACATTTAACATTGACATTAAAACTAGTTATTTAACACAATTCTTACAAATTCCAAATTCTAACAACATTCTTTATCCATGCATAGACCATTGGTGCGTTCACACCAGACACGATGTGATTTTTGGGGGTGGCGTGATTACATGTAAAGTCAATGCAAAGCCTGTTGATGCGAATGACGCGTTTATCGCGGTAGCCAATCAGCGGTGAGGATCTCAGCCTGCCGTCACTGACCTTGAATCAGAAAACCAAAACATCAGCCGTTAGCTGTTAGCACACAGAGCTCACAGCTCCTCATATCTGTTCAGAAACTGGACAAAAGTTAAACATGAACAAACCACAGACTGTCTGTGTCATGGCGAATACAGTCGCTGGTTTATTTATGTCTGTAGGCCGTTGTTGTGAGTTTGGACGGAGCAGCTACAGGTTAGTTTAGCCTGATCGACCCGATCTCCATTCAGAAAACACGCATTTTAAAAAGGTTTTTCGCCTGCCGTCTTGTCTGCAGACTTGTCAAAGCATTAATTCATGGTTTTTACTAACCGGTATCAGTATGTAGTTATTCCGGCATCATTTTGAAACGTGTATTACAATTAAATCAGGTTAAAATATGTTGATTTTGTTGTAGTTGGTATCTACCATAAGTGCAGTGAGTTCCAACATATGCAGCATCACTGCAGTCAGTCTATTATTTTCGGGAGTGACAGGGAATGTCTCAAAGATACGCCAATCAAGTGGCACCTGCTAACGGGGTGGTGGAGGATCGGCTTACATCTAAAAACTTTTTTTTTTAAATATATAACTAAAGGTATTAAATACATGTAGTGGAGTAAAAATGCACCTTTTACCTCTGAATTGTAGTGCAGTAGAAGTACACAGTATGCATAAACTGGAAATACCCAAGTAAAGTACCTCACAATTGTACTTGCGTACAGTACAATGTAATAATAATAATATATGTTTTATTATTTTCACATTTAAATAAACAATGTTAATTCGGTTTACAATTTGTTTCGTTTTTCCCTTTCTAAAATGACAAAATGTGCTGATAAAAATACTGTTAAAGTATGGGATCAATAAGAGTAGTAGAACCGTTAACGATACCCATCCCTAGTCAATAGTTGTCTCATCAAACTCATAAAGTTAATGTTTCCTCTCTTTGTGCTAACCCTTTTTGTAATATTTGTGTGACAGACTTTCTAACTGTGGACTCTCAGAGACTCACTGTGAAGTCTTGGCCTCAGCTCTGAAGTCGGACCCCTCCCATCTGAGAGATCTGCACCTGAGTGGCAACTATCTGCAGGATTCAGGAGTGAAGCTGCTGTGTTCTGGACTAAAGAGTCCAAACTGCAAACTGGAGAATGTCACGTGAGTTCAATAACTGTATATAATAATATCATTATTGTAATTATATATTTTACTCATTATTTATGATTTGTAGATTTTTCCTGGGAACAAATGCATTTGAATTTTTTGTTTCTGATTTGCTAATGGTTGAATATTTAGCAGAAAAACAAAGAGAAGGTGAATGTGTGACGGAGAGTTTTTCAGCTTCCACAGACTCACACTGTGCTCCATGAGTTGGTGAAGATGCTGTCAGTATGAGTTTCTGTTCTATTTTGAAATGTATTAACTCTAACTGTCAAGTTTTTCTTCCTTTCTTTAGTTTCCCAGTGATTGTCTGATTGTGTTTCACCTCCACTCCCCAGCTGTGTCTTTTCTTGTGATTAGTCTTGTCTTCCCTTGTGCTCCTTGTTGGGTCGTCGTCGTTGTTTTCCCATGAATGTTCCTGTACCTCGTGTTCCTGGTTTAATAATAATAATAATAACTTTATATATAGCGCCTTTCAGGGGACCCAAGGTCGCTTGGTTCCTGTTCCCCGGTTTGTGCAGGTTCAGTTTCTCCTTGTTATGATGGTAATGAGCTTTTTCGTGGATTAAAGCTTGCCTCTTGTTTTTTTACTGCGTTTGGGTCCTACCTTCCTTCCAAACCCTGACAGGTGAGGTGTGTGAGGGAGATCAAGGAGTTGGTAAAGATCTGATGAAAAACTGCTGCAGAGTTAGAGTTCAGATTATCATGGATTTGTTTCTACATCATTGTTGACATTAAAACCTTCTTCAGCTCTGAACAGATTATTAAACCTTCACTTATTTGAAAAAAGGAACACTGTTTTCTAAAGTTACATCATGTTTTCTTTATTCAGAGTGAGGGGCTGCAGTTTGTCAGCAATCAGCTGTGCTCATCTGGCCTCAGCTCTGAAGTCCAACCCCTCCCATCTGAGACTTCTGGACCTGGGTTTCAACGAACTGAAGGATTCAGGAGTGGAGCTGCTGAGTGATCTTCTGAAGAGTCCAGACTGCAGACTGGAGACTCTCATGTCAGTTCTCCATCTTTTACTTCTGTGCTGAGATGAAGAGAGTTGTGTTGACTCTGAGCTGCTGATATCACACTGATCCACACTGAGTATCTTAATGCTAAAATCCTACCCTGCATAAACATTTTTATAAACCAATTATATAAGAAATACATAAATACAACAAATTAATATTTCTATTAAATCTCCCAAACACAAATATTTGCTCTGTTACCAACTGTTTTCTGAAGCTACATGATGCAACTCTGTGTCTAACTTCCTATATCATTATTTCCGCTCTTCACTCCATAAGTTTGATCTCTCTCTCTCTCTCTCTCTCTCTCTCTCTCTGATCTGCCGGTGACGGAGTGTTCAAAAGTTACACTCTACAGGCTCGATGTGGACAATGCTCGTTTGCCACTAGTGTTTTCACATAAACGCAAAAACACATCTGGCCAAATAGGCATCATATTCAGACTGAGAAATGCAAAATGTTTATACTTCCATAATCCGTAGCTCTGTTGCCCTTATTACGAGTAACGTTACAACGTCAGGTCCGCAGAAGTGGGAGAAGTTAAGTACTCAGATCTTGTACTTGAGTAGAAGTACTCAGATCTTGTACTTGAGTAAAAGTAGAAGTACTCAGATCTACTCTAAGTACCAGAGTGTAGGAATACTCTGTTACAGTAAAAGGTCTGCATTCAACATAATACTCATGTAAAGTAGAAAAGTATTATCATCAAAATATAGTGAAAGTAGCGACAGTAAAAGTAGTCATTGTGCAGATTGGTCCATTTCAGAATAATATATCTGATATGTTTTATAATGATTGATCATGAAAGTGTTCTCAAAGCTGGTAAAGGTGCAGCTAGTTTGAATGACTTTGTATACTGCAGGGTAGCTTGTGAATTTACTCCAGGTGGAACTAAAGTCTGATTTAACACTTGATTATATTTCACATCATTCATCCACATCTGTAAAGTAACTAAAGGTATTAAATACATGTAGTGGAGTAAAAGTACACCATTTACCTCTGAACTGTAGTGGAGTAGAAATACAAAGTAGCATAATATTTAATACTCAAGTACCTCGAAATTGTATTTAAGTACATAAATGCATGTATGTTATGTGTGCTAGCAGCAAGAATCCACACTATAAATTAAATAAAGCAATGTTAATTATGTTTCCTACTTGTTTAGTTATTCACTTAAAAGAAATAACAAAAAATACCGGATCGATAAGCAGTATCGGTAAGACTAGTAGTACCTTTAAAACTTTAACCATACCCATCCCTAATCCTGACATATTTGTGATCTTTGTAAACGTTGTGATCTTGAGTTGAATCAGTTTCTGTGGGTTTGATTGGTCTGGCTGCACATCATGAGTTTGTGTAGATGGAGCAGAGTTTCAGATGTGAAGTCACCTCTTTATTATTGAAGTAGAAGCACGTTGTCTTTCATATTAATGAGAGATCTTTTCACTTTTTGTCTCTTACAGTTTTTACCTGTTTGGAGTTTCCACTTTCTAACCTTCTTCAGCTCTGAACAGATTATTAAACCTGGAGTTATTTCAAACGTGAACATTGTTTTCTAAAGTTACATCTTGTTTTCTTTATTCAGACTGGAGCTCTGCAGTTTAACAGAGATCAGCTGTTCTGCTCTGGCCTCAGCTCTGATGTCCAACCCCTCCCATCTGAGAGAGCTGGACCTGAGAAGAAACACTATTCAGGATTCAGATGTGAAGCTGCTGAGTGATCTTCTGGAGAGTCCAGACTGCAGACTGGAGACTTTCAGGTCAGTAAGGGGTCAACTATCTGCTGGTTCAGCAGTATTGTATTAAACACAGGGAGGTAGATGTGTTTCTCTCACTGGAATCACAACAAGTCAGTGATGTTACCCACTGACTGCAGGTTCTCTCTTTTATTCTTCCAAAAACAATACATTGTAAGCAAAGCCACATTTAGTTACTAATGTTTTAACAAACATGACATTTGACAGAAGAGTGAAAGAGAGACTGTTTTGTTTTCCTGTCATGTTTCTAGATCACTGAGCAGTTATTTCCTCTGATGCAGCTGAGAGCAGTCAGTCGTAGTGTTTGCAGAACATATGAAGGGATGTAAAGCATTATGCTGCGTTCACACCAGTGTCGTAGTCAAGTCACCAATTCACGAGTCCAAGTCACTCTCGAGTCCCCACTTTTCGAGTCCGAGTCACCTAGGGAGTGTCGGAGTCGAGTCTGAGTCACCTAGGGAGTGTCGGAATCGAGTCCAAGTCCGAGTCACCTAGGGAGTGTCGGAATCAAGTCCAAGTCCGAGTCACCTAGGGAGTGTCGGAATCGAGTCCAAGTCCGAGTCACCTAGGGAGTGTCGGAGTCGAGTCCGAGTCACCTAGGGAGTGTCGGAGTCGAGTCCGAGTCACCTAGGGAGTGTCGGAATCGAGTCCAAGTCCGAGTCACCTAGGGAGTGTCGGAGTCGAGTCCGAGTCACCTAGGGAGTGTCGGAGTCGAGTCCGAGTCACCTAGGGAGTGTCGGAATCGAGTCCAAGTCTGAGTCACCTAGGGAGTGTCGGAGTCGAGTCCGAGTCACCTAGGGAGTGTCGGAGTCGAGTCCGAGTCACCTAGGGAGTGTCGGAATCGAGTCCAAGTCCGAGTCACCTAGGGAGTGTCGGAGTCGAGTCCGAGTCACCTAGGGAGTGTCGGAGTCGAGTCCAAGTCACCTAGGGAGTTTCGGAATCGAGTCCAAGTCCGAGTCACCTAGGGAGTGTCGGAGTCGAGTCCGAGTCACCTAAGGAGTGTCGGAGTCGAGTCCAAGTCACCTAGGGAGTGTCGGAATCGAGTCCAAGTCTGAGTCACCCAAGGAGTGTCCGAGTCGAGTCCAAGTCATCATTACCAGTGTTCGAGTCCAAGTCCGAGTCACCCAAGAAGAGTCCAAGTCAAGTCTGAGTCCCAAGTCTTCATGTATTAATCTTAGTGGATATATGTGTTGAAATGTAGCTGTAGCTCCTCTACATTGCTTTTATCCTGTCATGTTATACTAATGTGTCTATTGAACTGCTGTGAAGCCAGTTTGGCTACAATTCTTGTATAAAAGGTGCTATACAAATATTATTCTATTATACGGCCGATTGATCGGAGCATCTCTACCAACTACAACTAAATGAACATATTTTACTGTAATTTGATTGTTAATACACGTTTCAAAATGATGCCCAACTAACAACATACTGATACCGGTTTGTAAATACCATTAATTAATGCTAGTGTACACAAGACGGCAGGTGGAACCGTTTCGCTTGTGTGTTTTCCTGTATGTAGATCGGATCGATCAGGCTAAACTAACCTGTAGCTGTATGCGAATTTGCGTGCATCCGCGTCTTTTCATTGACTATTTCAATCAGGAGAGACGTTGATGTATGGAATACATGTTTATTACCGGGACACATAAATGAATGTAATAATGATTGCCAGGATTATAACAGGAGAATGGAATGGTGTTTGGCGATTAGGCCCCAGTTTGCAGGATAATCATTCAGGAGGGGGAAGAACTAGGGATGGGTACCGAGCCCCGGTATTAAACGGGCCCCGGGGCTGAATTATTAAAGACCGTGGTACCGTTAAGCTCCGACGTTATCGGTCTTTTTATCGGTACTGGAGACATCTAAAAAATATGTCATGTGTATTATTGCTACACAAACATTATATTGCAGTTTTAGTGTCGCCAACTCCGTTTCTAATACGCAAAAAGACTGCTAAAACTAAAACTAAAGTTTCAGCCATTCTGTTCCCAGTTCTGTCATCAGATTATTTAATATGATTTGTTAAAACGTTGTTGTTTCTGTTGATGTGAAATATTATGTATTTCATTTAAATAAAAAGCAATGTTAGTTTTGTTCACAATTTGTTAATTTTCATTTAATCGTTTATTTGAATAGGGACAATGCACATTAATGAACACTTTAGACAAATAATGCTTCAAGTGTAAATATGCCGGATTTTAGCTTTGAGCTAATTTCCATCCGTAGTCCCTGACATACAACATATAGTTAGTTTACCTCATTTTTCTCTCCAAAAGAACCGATAAGAGTACCGTTAAAAGACCGGACCGATAAGCGGTATCGATAAAAGTAGTAGTACCGTTAAAACCTTAACGATACCCATCCCTAGGAAGAACCGCTCCGATGAAACCCCCCGGGGTCTAGACACTGGTGGTGGTGATAAGTAGGTGGGAACGGACTGAAGGGAGAAGGTTAGCTTGGCCCTGAAGGAGACGGGAGGCGAAAGGGGTGGAGGAGGGTTGCGTTTTGTCACCTGAAATGACAGCTGACAAGAGGGAAGAGCAGATATAAAGGGATTAGCGGGTGCAACGATAGGCTTGTGAGAATGGAGAGAGGAGAGATTGGTTAGCTGGGGAGTGACGCCCCCGATCACTTAATGAGGGAGGAGAGAGTAATGAAGTGACGTGTAATATGAATGAAGAGCTTGGTCTTCCTGATTGAACTTGCGCTGAGCTTTCATATGTAATCGCACCGCCCCCAAAAATCGCATCGCATCCGGTGTGAACGCTCCATTAGATCAGTCGGGACTCAAACACTTATTTTAAACCTGACCCATCATTTTTGAATGTGTTTATCCCTACAGGATCAATGACAGGACGGAAGAACTGTGAGTATTGAAACCATATCCTCCATTCATCAAACCATTAAACTCTGATCCTAAAAGGTTCAACAGAAACATGTTTTAACTCCATCTTGTTACAGCTCTCTCAATCATTTTGGATTCTAATGTTTCTCTTTGTTAAAGTTTTATTATTATTGATGTCTTGTCTCTGTCTCTTCTTCCCTCCATCAGGTGACTCTGTTGTGGAACAGGAAGTGAAGACAGACAGAGGTGAGAGAGGAGCAGTTGCACCGTGTGGAGTTTATTGATGAGGTTTCACCACTGATTAAAATGTAGTTATTAGTCAGTGTTTTTCTGGGATCCAGACAAATCTGCAGCTCAGGTTTGATTTGTTCACAGTTTATTCATGACAGGGCGTGTTTGAGACGTAAAGAGGAGCGTGGAGGCATTTTGGAAAATAATCAAGATGGCTGCAGCTGATATATGAAACAAACTGACAGTATATCTTCCATAAAAACAAACAATCCGTTGCACGAAAGCTTTCCTTCAACAACGATTTGTCACCATCATTCTACAGAAGTTTAATTTACCAACTCGTATCAGAGTTAGGATTCAGTTTGTTGCCAATTAGGTTTTTTCTCATGAAAGGAATAATTTTGTTGGTGTGTTGTTGCAAAGAGAAGAAACATGAATAAAGAAGAGAAAAATACAACTGTCTAAAAATGAAGGAGTATATTTATTTATTTATATAAATCAGCTCATCTACTGTGAGCAATTTCCCGCCCAAATGTGCTGTGATTGGCTGGTCCTACTATGCCGTGATTGGCTTTCACTGTGATTGGATAGTGCTGCTGTGCTGTGATTGGATGGTGCTGCTGTGCTGTAATTGGCTGGTCCTACTATGCTGTGATTGGCTTTCACTGTGATTAGCTTATAATACAGTGCTGCGATTGGATGGTGCTGCTGTGCTGTGATTGGCTGTTACTGGGATTGGCTTGTCATACTGTGCTGTGATTGGATGGTGCTGCTGTGCTGCGATTGGATGGTGCTGTTGGCTACAGTGGCAGACATGGCTCAGCACTACTTCACATGTTAACCAGTTACTAACCCGTTGGAAATCAACGATGAGCTGACAGGATCTAGACCAGGCATAAAGTCCGGTCAGATTTAATACGGCCCGCAGCTTCAGTCTTCGTGTATTGTTTATGGCCCGCAAGCATTGTCAAACTGAATAAATCGAATTCCTCATTTCACTGCATGGTGACATGTAGTAATACAAATACATAGGATTTTTATAGCGCTTTTCCTAATGCTCAATGCATTTCGGTGAAGGAGGAGATGTTTCACTAATTAATTAATTTGTGTATGGTTTGACTGAGTTTAATATTTTAGATGATTATTTGTCAGACCTGATTCTGACTGGCACCCCACTTTATTAAAAATAGGTCAAACCAGCTACAAAGTTTAAGATATTCCATATAGTCCGTTCACTGTTATCTGACTCTCCAGATATGAATGAAAGGCAGTGTTTTTAGAGATGTTCATGCCTGTCTGCGTGGCTTATATTTAGTTATACTGCCATTTGAAAAAATAATAATAAGATAATTGTGACAATGACAATTGTTATATAACAGTGTATTTGTAAGTCACTTTTATGTTTAAAAAATGTCAGAAAGGACAATGGCCCCCGGGCATATTCACATGATCAAATCTGGCCCTCTTTGAAAAAGGTTTGGACACCCCTGATCTAGACTCTTTGAATTGTTGATGGTCTCACGATGCTCTGCTCTGGAATTGTAGTTTGTGTTCATTGAGCTGAACTTGATTTTTATTACAATAACTAACTTTGTGCCTTTTCATCATTCCAGGCTCCAGGTTCCTTCTCACCGTAAAACACACCTGAATCTTCAGACAGGTAAACCTATAACAGCACCAAACACTACTTAAAAAATATATTTATATAATTATTTGTATTTAATATTATAATAATAATAATGCATTTCATTGATATCGTGATTTCAAGACACAGAAAGACGCTTTACAAAAGTCACATTTAACAAACACAGTGGTGCAAGAGAAACTGTCCATTTAACAGATTTGCAGCGTTATGAAATGGAGGGGGTGGGGGGGGGGCTCCAAGAGAAAAGCCTGTCTGAAGAGGGGGGCTTTGAGGGGTTGT